CCCCCCCCCGGCCATCTTTCATTCTTCCTCAAGAGCCCTGGGAAGCAGACATGCTGAACACAGCACATGCACACCACCTCTCTGAGATGCTTTAACAAAGCATATGTGTATTAGGAACATGGAGCCTGGGAAAAAGGAGGGACTGTGGTCACACAGCTGCACTGGTGACGAGACAGGGCAAGGCCCAGCATAAACAGTCTGGAAGGAATTGTTCCTGCTCCTCAGCGTGCATGCACACACGCAGCAAAAGAAGAGAACTGGCAAAGCTTACAGGACTTTATTTCCTTCAGATCCCTGGCAGGTCTCCATCCTGCAATACATTAGGGGAGCTGCAAGTGTCCTGTGAGATCAAGCTGGCAAAAAGTAACAATAATCCAGGGGTGAGTAACTTCTATTTCTGACACATTACTGGGGATAGGCCTTATTTTTATGGTTGTGTTTGAGTATCTGTAAAGCACACATCTCTCACTGTACTACAGAAAATGATAAAAATGAATCTCTTGCACTGATAGATATGCTGATGTCATTGACACATGGACAATAAATCAGTTCTATAGAAATACGGAGAGCTATCATTTTTGTGTCTGAAAGTAAATCACAAACCAGATCCTGTAAACATTGTACTCTGTGCAGAGTACAGGCAAGCTAGGATCAGTACGAGAACTATTGCAGAAATCTCGGACTTTGCCCTGCTGCCTTCACTGGGGGCCTGTAAAGCCTTTCCCCCCCAAGATGAATTAGAAGGTAGTGCACTTGTCTGAGCACCTCTGTGAGGGGGACACCTGGCCCCAGGAGGTGCTTACATCATCTTTACCTTTGTGGAAACAAGACAGTGAGTAACCTGCTTCCCTGCCAACTCACAAACCTGTGCTGGTTCTGCTTGCCTGCTGGAAACCTGCCCAAAGGCCTCCCTCTCTCTGAGCTGCTCTCAGGTGAGCGTGCAACAGAGGGGGAAGCTTGCACAAGCCTCTCCCTCTGCTGTCATGTTTAGTGGAGAGTCACAAGCTGTAGAAATATCAGTGCAGGTACTAAACACATTCACACTCATTTCTGACAGAAACAGCTGCTGGAGCTTTCTTCCATGCTTTCTTCTATGCTCAATCAAGACTAAATCTGTAACTCCTCTGGGAGTGACTTCACAGGAGGGTGTCTCATCGGGGGCTACCCAGCCAGCACAGTGCAGCCCTTTAAAATCAAACTGCTTGGCCACGTAGTCTTTGGGCATACAAAGCTGCTGTTGAATTTGATTTAAGCTCCATTGCTCAGACTCTGTTCTGAGAAGAGACAGACTGTAAAAGCTCCTTTCCCCTCAATTTAATCAGACTTCAAAATGAGATGAAGTTTTCCAAGCAGCTGCTGCCACAGGTACATTACCAGGAAACCCTTGTACTCTGCATCCCAAACACTGCTCTTGTGTTCATAGGAAGAATCAAACCTACATCCCACGTCCCTGTCTGGCACCTGAGAGGACACTGGCCTGATCACATGCACTCTGTCAACCAGAAAAACTATCCCTTTTATTTTGTGTGACTGTTGGTTTTGCCTTTCTTCTCTCCAGACCTGGACAGTTGCTTTTCTTCAGCCAACGTGCCACAAAGACTTTCTTGGAGAGGAGGAGGAAACCTGATGAGCCTGGAAACTCAGCTGACCTCCAGTCTCTTTTGATAGTAAATAGCAGGAATCGATTTCTGGCATTCCTAGCCCAGGGGAAGCTTAGACACTGCTGCCTGCCTAGCAAATAAAGCAAGCCTTAAAAAGTCACAGACGAGCAAAAGAGCACAGCTGGGTGACTGCTGGGTATCTAGAGGACAGGTTGCGGCGTAGGGAAAGGCAGCCCCCAGTCCGCTGCCCGAAATCACTTTGTAGATGACAGCGTTCCTGTGCCAGGGCTGACCGTCCCCACGGGTTACAGACAAACCGGGGGTGCTTTCTCCTCCCGCTGTCAGCCGCCCAGGACTCCTGCAAGTCCCTTTGTGGGGGGCAGCCCCATGCCCCCGCGCACACCAAAGCTCTCAGCGAGACGAGTGGCTCACCCCCACGCACCGAGGTTGCCCAGCGGGAGCTGAGGTCGCCCCGGGGCAGGCGCTGCGGGGACACGCACTGCCCCGGCGCTGCGCTC